TCTCTACTAAAAATACAAAAATTAGCTGGGTGTGGTGGAGCACGCCTGTAATCCCAGCTACTAGGGAGGCTGAGGTAGGAGAATTGCTTGAGCTCAGGAAGTGGAGGCTGCAGTGAGCTGAGATTGCACCACTGCACTCCAGCCTGGGTGACAGAGTGAGACTCTGTCTTGAGGGGCGGGAATTCCATCTGCTAACTACATAAGCCTGAACCTTTGAAGGGCTTCAATCTCACTTGGTTGATTATTAGATCTTGTGTTTCTTGACTTCTGCTGCCTCATCTTTCCCACATGTTGATATTGCCTTTTATTATGGGACAGCCTAGGGTGGGGTTCTCCAATCTTTTGGGTTCCCTGGGCCACACTGGAAGAATTGTCTTGGGCCATACATAAAATACACTAACACTAATGATATCCTAACACTAATGACAGCTGATGAGCTAAAAAAAAAAAAATCGCAAACAAATCTCATGATGTTTTAAGAAAGCTTACGAATTTGTGTTGGGCCACATGCAGCCCACGGGCCTCAGATTGGACAAGCTTGACCTAGGGGATTCCAAGAGGATGGGTCGCTTACTCTTGTTTCGATTGTGATACACTCAGTGAGTGTAGGACCCTCTGGGTTGGCGGCCTTTCTCTTGAGGCGAGAGGCGCGTGGAGGAGGAAGGAATATGGGTGTGGTTTCTGTAAATAATAACTTGAAGTAGACAAATGGTCTCCTCAACTTCAGGCAGGGCAAGGAACTTATTTTTTTTTTATTTTTTTATTTTTTTTTGAGACAGGATCTTGCTTTGTGCAAGCTGTGACCCAGGCTGGAGTGCAGTGACACATTCGTAGCTTGCTGCAGCCTCCAACTCCTGGGCCGAAGCAATCCTCCTGCCTCAGCTTCCCGAGTAGCTGGGGCTCCAGGTGTGTGTCACGATGCCTGGATAATTTAAAAAACAGTTTTTTGTAGAGATGGGGCTCTCTAATTTGTTGCTCAGGCTGGTCTTGAACTCCTGGGCTCAAGTGTTTCTCCCGCTTTGGCCACCCAAGTGCCAGGATTACAGATGTGAGCCCTGCCTCCTTACATTTTCTCCCCCTACATTTTCAAAATTTAGGTGGTGGGGAAATAGGAAGTGATGCCTTCCCATTGAGGACTGGAGTAGGTGTTCATTTCCGGTTTCCCTGATGGAGGGGAAGGAGCTAGTACCTGTATTTTACTCTGAGGACACTTAAGCTGAGAGTAGTTGAGTAAGTTGCCTGGACTCACACAGCAATCAAGTGTCAGAGCAGGCTCCAAAGCTGGGCAGACTGGCTCCCCAGCCTCTTTGGAGCTGCTGCACTGAGCTGCTTCCAGTTCAGGTGCTTGTCGGAAATGCATGGAGAAGGCACCCCCTGTTCTGGCAGGCTAGAGTTTCTCAAGGGAAGTTCTTAAAGTGCCTGCAGTTGGAGATGATGCATGTGTAACAACTTTTACTGTGCTTTAGGGCAGCTGTTCTCAAAGCATGGTACTCAGAGCGGCAGCATCAGCATCACTTGGGAGATTGTAAGAGATGCAGATTCTCCAGCATCCGCTCCGGACTGATTCAGTAAAACTGGAAACACTGGGTGTGTGGGTGGTGGTGAGGGTTCACGTGCTCCAGGTGATCTTGATTTGAGGAGCTTACTGCTTCTAGCTACTCCTCTCATTGGAGTGTTATTATAGTATTATGCTTTTCTTTGTTTTTAATTTTTAAAATTTCTTTTCTTTTTTTTTTTGTTTTGAGACGGAGGCTTACTCTGTCCCTCAGCTCTGTCACCCAGGCTGGAGTGCAGTGGTGCAATCTCTGCTCACTGCAACCTCTGCCTCCTGGGTTCAAGCAATTCTCCTGCCCCAGTATCCCGAGTAGCTGGGACTACAGGTGTGCACCCTCACACCCAACTAATTTTTGTATTTTTAGTAGAGATGGGGTTTCACCATTTTGGCCAGGCTGGCCTTGAATTCCTGACCTCAGGTGATCTGCCCGCCTCAGCCTCCAAAAGTGCTGGGATTACAGACATGAGCCACTATGCCTGGGCCAGTTTGAGGAATTTTAAAGTCTGAGGCCTCTTAGTGAGAAAATAATAATAATCATCATCTGAGGAATGCGGAGTCCTTTTAAATTATCAGGCCCAGAGAGACATTAAAATGACA